AAGTGTTTTGTCACTTTTTTTAGGCAAAAAGAAAAAGAAAATAATGAAAAAAGTAAATAATGCCGGTATTTGTTAGTTGGGCTATAAAAAAAAAGCAAAGGCGTCAAAAGGTTTTTAGTTTTAAAACTAAATATCAAAACAAAATTATTTTCATCAAGCTATTTTTTAAGCAATACCGTGTTTTAACCAAATCTAAGTCAACAGCTTTGTTTTTTAATCTCTGAAACTACTGCCTATTAAGCAATAGACTATTCCCTTAACAATCAAATGATCACTTCTCGTAGTGGGCTTCATAGGATATCTGTCTGAAAAGTAACAAGTCTTATCCGTTCTCCGATGTGAGAGACATCTTCCACATTGAGTTCTTGCCACGATCAATCCGCAAGTCTACAAAGAGATTCTGCGACGTTTGCTTCGCTCAGTGCGCGAAAGACGACAGTCGTGGCAGGATAAAACCTGGCTGCTTCACCAAGACAAGCCCCTGCTCATAAAACCCTGAGCATTCCTCAGTTCCTGGCTATACTGAACCCCCCCCCCCATTCACCTGATCTGTGACTTCTTTCTTTGATAATTTAGTAAATATTTATAAATTTATAAATAAAAAATGTTTTCATATCTATTTCTTTACAAATTGGTAAATGAAAAATATTGTATTGAATTTATTTTAATGTAACTGTATTACTTTTTAGAATGCTGTAAATATAACATTATTCTTGTAAATAAAGATTATCGCTACTCTCTCTTTATGTGCTCAAGGGGAACATCAAGGAGCCTCGTTTTGAGGGCGTGGATGCCATCAAGTGGATTGTAACGACGGAGATGAGGGGCCTCCAAGAAGAATTCTTCCAGCAGTACATAGAAGCAGGGCAGAGAAAGATGGAAAATTCTATTAAACTCCGGGCGGAGATTACTTTGAAGGGGAAACCATGTAGTTTGTTGTTTGGAATTTAAATAAATTGTTTGTGACATCAGTCCCATTATTTTTCTGACAGACCTCGTAATTTTACGTTTATTTTATTTTTTTAATGGTTTATTTATTTATTCATTTTGGGATATTTTATCAAATGCTCCTCCTATCCAAAGAAATTATCCTCAAAGAAGAAAAGAAGTGGGGGGGAAAATTGGCGCAATTTAGTATGTGGAAACTAATTAACTCGAACTAAACTAGTGTCGTGGCCCATTCAACTCGATAGTACGTCTTGTTAGAAAATAATAAATTCATTAACTTCATTACTTTATAACTAACGTTAATGTCACCCCTTTTTTATGTACCGTGCCCTCTCCGGACGTGGGCGATCATGGTTTTCCGCAGCTTCCTGTTCTTTGTAGCTCTTAACAGCGTTTCTTCCCTTGCCATGCCAACCAGGACCTGCTCTGACATCCATAGACACAGTCTCTTTAAGGAGGTTATTCATTTATTGCCATCATTATTTCCTGTGAGTGTAAAATTCTCCAAGCACTTTTTTCTTATTATGTACACTAGAGATTTCAGCCGTCTCTTTCTGTTTCTAAGTATAATTGTTTTTCCCCATTCTCTTGAATCTTCCTCGTTGATTGAACGCTCCATCCATAATATCCTCATCATCCTTCTGTAGAACCACATTCATGTTGCCTCAATTCTCCTCTTCACCTGTCCAGCATTCCCTGCAATATATGAGGGTTAGCAAAGATTAACCTTCCATGCCCATAAAAATGTATCTCAAAAGGACGATTTTCACTTGGCACAACTATTAACTACCTTCACTCTTTGGCAATATTTATTATTTTAAAAAGCGATGATTTGAATTTTCATAAAACCTAAATGTATCAAAGATTTTTATATATTTTCTTTGTTCTTGAGAATTTGCAACAAAATATTAAACACTATTTGTTTATTAGATTGTTTATTGGAATGGTTGAAAAAACATCGACTAACTAACAATCGATTCGAACTTTATAAAATGGTAAATAATAAAGATTTTATAATAGTCGGTTCACATATTTTAATAATTTAGTAAATATTTATAAATTTATAAATAAAAAATGTTTTCATATCTATTTCTTTACAAATTGGTAAATGAAAAATATTGTATTGAATTTATTTTAATGTAACTGTATTACTTTTTAGAATACTGTAAATATAACATTATTCTTGTAAATAAAGATTATCGCTACTCTCTCTTTATTTCCATGGAAATGTTTAGATGTAATACATTCTTTTATTCGATCAATTTACAGCTAAAACACGCTATGCTAGTATACAGAATTGAATCATCCTCATTCCCTTTTTTTATTGGCAAAAAGGGAGATCAACTATGACAACTTCTTCTGTAGGGTCGCTACTTTGTGAAACAGATTCCAAAAATGACACTTCCATGATCACTACAATCTCATTTTCTATAAGTCATGTCAATCATTATCTACTTTCAACAACCTCATTCAATAATCATCTTCCTTGAATATCTCTTGGGCCTTATATCGAGTGAACAAACGTAAAATATAAATAGCAGGAGCTGTGGGAACCATACTCTTGATTACGAAATAATACGGGATTAGAATAAAGGTTTGTAACGTTTTTCAATAGGTTATTTATGACATATATGAATTTTATGACATATGAATTTTATGGCATATATACATATTCTGTAAGTGGATGTTTCAGTTCGTCTTTCTATATTTATTCGTGTGTGAAATGTGAATTTTAAACACTTTTGGGTTATAAGGGTAAATGGAGGAGGCTCTTTTATTTCCGGAAGATAAAATAAAAACGACGTTATACAAAGAGCAAAACCCGATGTCCCGTTTATCGAGATGATAGGAGTACTGTTCGTAAGTGGCCGCTAAGTTCAAACATAGAAATTTTGGTTTGTGACACAAAGGTTTCGGTAAGAATGAAGTCTTTTGTTATAACCAAATCGAAACAGTGATAAAAAAAAAAGATTCTGGTCACACGATACGGGGCATCGCAGCGATACCCCACATGTCTCATATAAGCGTTGTAAGGCATTTGAAATCGCTACAAGTTTTGTATTCTTCACGGTTTAACGAAATACCTAAAGCACAACAGAAACATTTTTACGAAGAACGATGGAAAATGGTTTGTTTACAACAATGTAGAGCGAAAAGATCTAAATAAAGGATGGTATTTTTCAAGAATGTATGGTTCGTAATTCCATTAGATACATAGATATGGAAGGAGAGAAAGATAAAACGAACTGGCCAAGTTAGACATGAAAACAGTATAAGGAAGGGGGGATAAAAAGATGATTTGTAGTTTCCATTGAAGCATAAAACATGGAGTGTTGATCTCTATGTCCACAGTATTTACATGAGTAAACGCTCTGTCTTCGATAGTGAACATTTTTGCCCTATAAATATAGCAAATTTTAATAATATACTTATATACACTGGGTGTAACAGCAAAATTGTCCAAATCTTGTAACATCATGGGATATTTGTCTATCCTACAAAATGTTTAATATCTGAAAAAAAAAAAAAAAAAAAACTAATAGCGTTTATTTTTCCCAGGTTTTCATATAAAACGTTTAGCCACGTTGCCACCATTTGTCTTAAGATTCACTAAAAAAAACACTTTGAGTTATTCCGGTAGAAAGAGAACAGGTTAAAATCGTTTTGAGCCAGCCCCACTATGTCTTCCCAACTGAGCAATGGTGAGAGGAAAAGATCATTCAGGCCTTCAGTAATACTACCAACATTCATACTCTGGCTTCCATTTTCAAAGACAATTCAAGAACCATCAAGAGAACGTTGAATGAGTTTAAAAAAGAGGGAAGAGTAGAGAGGAAAAACTGGATCAGGAGGTCACAATAGCAAATAGGATCATCATTTCAACTTAAAGCTAAAGCATATTTTCATTATTCAAAGTAGAGTCCAATAGTATTATAAAAACCTCGGAGAATTTCAGTAAGATATCTTTAGTCATTTCTGAGATAGAATTGTTGAATGATCAATCTAACAATAGGCCAATTTTGCTGTTTCATCTGCTATATATACATTACATACATATATATATATATATATATATATATATGTGTGTGTGTGTGTGTGTGTGTGTGTGCGTGTGTGTGTGTGTGTGTGTGTGTAATTATTGAGCCACACCTCTGCCTGCAACATACTTATGGAGAATACGTTCATAAGTCTCATCCACATGCAAAACATGGTTAAAAATAATGGAAGCGTTGATAATAAAAAAGAAGTCAACTTTCAATTATGAACACGGCCACAGCATACTGGCCGTATTTGGAAATTAAGTAACATCCCTAATATATATATATATATATATATATATATATATATATGTGTGTGTGTGTGTGTGTGTGTGTGTGTGTGTGTGTGTGTATATATATATATATATATATATATATTCGACTCTCTTGTCGCATACAGCTCAGTTCCTAGGTACAGACAGCCAGACACCAGCACATGTGATTTGATTATAGCGTTTTGAAGTGGCGAATACAGAGACCTGGTGCACTACTTGCCACAAGGTCCTCAAACGATCCTCCACGGGTTTTGAATTTAAAATTGTTCTTCTCCTAGACTAGTTACCATCCAAGGCTACAGAACCCAGTCTATCCTGCTAGTTGTCCAGGTTCACCTATCGTCCGGATCAGACTACTCCCCGTTTTTATTTTTTTTTAAACAGGAGCAGAATTTCATGCCTTGCTTCCTGTTGAGGATTTGATTTCCGGTTCCATCCAAAACTATATTTTCACCCTATTACTTCTAACGTCTCCTTCTGAACTCTGAATTATTAAATCTTGACCTCTTCAAGACTAGAGATAGACGTTATCTTTCCTGCATATCCCGCAAGAATTCCACTTCTTGCCCTTTTCTAACGCCCTCTACCTTGAGTGGTTCTTGTGCCTTGTATAAGGTGAACATTAGTGAAAAAATATATACATATATGTATTTACAGGGTACACGTGTTTGAGTAGATATCCTTGTTTTGTTATTAATATCTACCGGCCTAGATATAGAAAATCTTAAGAAAGAATGACTTACGGCAATATCACGTTGAAACACCGGTTCTCGTACGATCACCGAAGTTAAGCAACGTTGAGCCTGGTCAATTCCTAGATGGTCGACCGCTTGGTAATATCCTGTACTGCAAGCTTTTGTGTGCAAGTGTTGTAAAGGATACTAGCTCGAAATTGGAAATCGGAGAGCCGAGTTCGAATTTCAGTCGTGTGCATTATATTCATATAAAGGCAAATACCCTTTGGAAATGTATGAATTCACCTCTTCCCCCCACCGTAGGTATAGATTAATTAGTAGAACTAGTATCAGTAAATCATAATTTTTTTTCCAAAGAATTCTTGCACCATAAAAATATTTTCTGTCCATCTGCAAAAATATCTGTAAGCCGTAAAAACAAACCAATATATATTTCTTTCTTTACGCATTTTCCCTTTCTATATATTGCATTCATTTACATGCTAATAGCTTTAGGAAAAGTATGAATCCTCTTCTTCTACCCTCCCCCACACCAGCCATCCCTCCCCCCAGCTATGGGTAAATAGCAGGACAGACCGGGTTCTGGCCTGCCGCAGAAAGAAATGACAGCCTACTGTGGGAAAAACTCTGCCTCGTCAGTCATGCATCGAAAGATACATGATCGCCTAAGCGTATATCCCGCATGGCATAAAAGTGACTGATCAACCTTTTGCTGGTTATTTAAAGCCAGAAAATAATTTTGTTAACAAATAACAGGGCGTCTGAAATGTGCACTACGTCTATTGGCATGCGCAGACGAGAAATCTCTGTAAATCTGAATAAAGAAAATATGTCATCTGGCAGGGATCAAATATTGCAGGAGGCGCATGTTCGATCCCCGCTGGAGGGCATATTTTCTTTAGTATTTTTCAAATGCGCAGACCAATAGATGTAATAACACATACACACATCCTAATGAAAAAAAAAGGGTCGTATATTTCAAATAAGAAGTGTCCACTATAATAAGGTTTGAAGAAAATGTCGGATTATAGTATATCCATTAATCATAGGTAAATAGATATATAGGTAAATATTGAGAGGAAAACAAATCAAAATGATTAATATTAATATGAAAATGGACATCATAAGAGGAAATTACGTACGCATATATATATATATATATATATATATATATATATATATATATATAATTATTATTTATAAAAAATTATAAGATAAATAAGTTATAAAATCACTACAAAAATAGCCATTTTGTTTCAACAAAAAAAAAACATTTATTTTATCTTCAACATCATCACTTGATAAGACACCGAGGGTGTTGAAACAAAATGGCTATTTTTGTAGTGATTTTATAACATATTTATGTTATAATTTTTTTTATAAATAATAATTATATCTAACTCTACTTTGTATTGAGCACTCTTTTAAGAATAGTAATTGTTGGTTATTGGAATTCACTCCGTATATACCAATTATATACTTGGATATATATATATATATATATATATATATATATATGCATATAAAAGTGTTTTCATTTTATAATACATACACATATGATATTTATATCAATGTCATATACATATATATCAATATCAATATATATATATATATATATATATATATATATATATATATATATATATATATGGGTAAGGTGTTTTCCTTTTATAATAAGGTGTTTTCCTTTTATAATACACACACACACACACACACACACACACACATATATATATATATATATATATATATAGGTAAAGTGTTTTCATTTTATAATACATATATATAGTCACATACTTACATATATATATATATATATATATATATATATATATATATATATATATATATATATATATATATATATAAAAATGAAAATACTTTACCCTTCCATGAACTAGGTTTCAACCGTGTAGTCTCATCAGGTCGTTAGATAAAAAAACTGCTCTAAACGCACTTCAAATTTCTTTTTAACATTGTTAACATTCTTGACTTCCGGTGACATACCAATGTTAAAAAGAGTCCTGCAGTGCGTTAAGGGATAATTTTTATCTTACGAACTGGCGAAACCACATGTTTGAAACCAAGGTAGAATGGAAGGGTAAAGTCTTTTTATTTTATATTATTAACCTGCAGGTTCAATTTTCTGAAATGTGTATTGAGCACTTTTTATATATGTTTTTTATATTTTTTTTTATATATCCTTTCTTAATTTCCCGTCTCATTATATATATATATATATATATATATATATATATATAATTTTGTAATAAATATATATATATATATTTGTAATATTAATGGTTAATATATATATATATATATATATATATATATATATATATATATATATATATATATATATAAATACCCAAGAGGATAGAATCCAGGTAGAACTCAATGTCCAGGGCAGAATAAGAATATAATATAAAAGGCACAAAAGAGCCTTTTATATATATATATATATATATATATATATATATATATATATATATATATATATATATATATATATATATATATATATATATAAAAAAAGGCTTAAACACTAATATTCCATGGTCATAATTTATTCCATTGGAATCGTAAATACGATCCAATTCATCAGACCAACAAATTCATGTATGCATGTATATTTTGCATATGTATGTGTATATTTACCACTAATATTATCTATCTATCTATCTATCTATCTATCTATCTATCTATCTATCTATCTCTCTCTCTCTCTCTCTCTCTCTATATATATATATATATATATATATATATATATATATTTGGGAAATTGTATGACAAAGTGGAAATAGTTTACTTGTGACTTGTAAAATTTTCCACTTTGTTATACAATTTCCTCAATACTGTTCTTGATATATAAAAATATATATCATTATCTCTGTGTGTGTTTCATTGAATAATATAAGCATATTATGCCTCATTATTTTTTAAAGTATGCTTTATAATACTCTAATCAGTTTCTTAAAGTTTACGTTAAATTCATCAAGGATGGCGTCTTAGTTTTTTCCTACACAAGTACTTTCGATCTCCTCCGAGTTCATCCCCAGCGATGAATTACAAAGACAAACTAATTGTAACTGGGATTGTTGTGATGGGTATTTAAAAAAACACGCTCTATTACAATTTTTTGAAAATTTTTAATTTATCCCTTGTAGCTATAGAATTCTCTGTAAAACAAGCGACCCAATATCAGGGAGCCAATCAGATATAGGTAAGAATTCCAAGTGGCATTAATTGTTTGTTAAATGCTCTTCAACACGGTATTGCTATACTCGTAATAAATTTTGTTGAGTGCTGGCTGGCCGGCTTTGACACATAGGGACTCGAGAATTTGAAGTGTTCGTTTACCACCTTCATGGTGGAGCATGTTGGTGTTGTCAACAAGTATTAAAAATCTTTATCACAACAATAAGTTTGTCTTTGTAATTTACCCTTGAGGAGATCGGAAGTACTTGCGTAGAGGGATACAAAAAAAAAACGAAAAAAAAACTACGGTGACTTCTTTGATGAAATTTCATTTTAACGTCAAGAACCTGTTTAGAGAACGAGAAAGGATTATTATAAAAAATAAATAGACATAATATGTCTTTATTATTCAATGAAACATGTTTGAATGAAGATATGCTACCTAAATATATACGATCAATAGATTATATACGCATGAATCGATTGATGACTTCAAGAGAGGGAAAGAGAAAAAAAGAATACATACAATGGAAAGGAAGAAGGGGTGAAGTCAGAACAGACATCAGACGGGTAACTATCTGAGTGCATCGGGGTACTTTGAACGTGAACGAAAAAAAAAACGGCATTCACAGAGAGAAAAGGATCGTAAGATTTGCGCGCGAACGCCTGTGTTGATGTGTGTTGCTCGTTCCTCTTTTGTGTCTAAGCGTGTGCGTGTGTCTGTGTGCGTGTGTTGGTGTCTGCTTGCATTTGTGTACGTGCGTGCGCAGTCCCATTGACCACGACGGGGATGTGCGCATGCGTGTGTTTCTGTATTGAATTTCTCATTAAAATTATGCAGTTCGTACAAAAGGAGACGGGAAAGCTATTTTTTTTTCTTCCCTTTTTCCCTTTTGATCTTGTCTTAGTCAGAAACGGTTGGTGCCGGACGAGTTTAAAATAGCTAAGTGGTGTAGAGGCAGTGGGTATAAAAGACGCTGAGAAAGAAGCACGCAGAAGCGGTGTTAGCTGGAGAATCAGTACAGTAAAGTAGAAGTAATATTAGCAAATGTTAACAGTCCACAAATTGAAACTACTATTATGTGAGGATGACGTTTACGTTAGTCGCTAGGTGGGTGGGGTACGCCGTAGAACAATATTTAACGGTTGAAAGAGGGACGGGAAGACGAGGCTGTGTCAGATGGTGCGGATTGGGTGGAGGAGCTTCACTTGGGGGTGGGGACATCAATTTCATTTCACAAAAGTGACGGAAGTGTTTAGTATCAATTTAAAACCATCAAAATCATTCAAATAACTTGGAGCAGATTTAGAAGTCCCTCTGGTAGAACAAACAAAATAATGACTTGCGGGGGTGCGGGAAAGGAAAAAAAAAATGAAAGAAAAAGAAGAGAAAGAAGGAAGGAAAAGGGAATGAAAATATAGAAGAGATGCGAAGGTAATGTGAAAATAATGAAAAAGAAGATAAAGATGTAACAGTAGAGAAAGAAAGAAAAAAGAAAGAAAGAAAGAAAGAAAGAAAGAAAGAAAGTAAGAAAGGAAAGGCATGAGCAAAGGCTAAGAAACAAATAAAGAAAAGGTTTAAGCATGACCAACGAAAGAAAGGTTCCGAGCAAGGAGAAAGAAAGAACAGCAAAAAGCAAGTAAGCAAGCGGGCAAGAAAGAAAGAAAGAAAGAGGGAAGGAAGGAAGGAAGGAAGGAAGAAAGAAAGAAAGAAAGAAAGAAAGAAAGAAAGAAAGAAAAGGCGAGCGCAAGGCCAAAGAAAAAAGAAAACAAGAAAGAAAGGGCGAGAGCAAAGGCTAAGAAAGAAAGAAAAAAAGAAAGAAAGAAAGAAAGAAAGAAAGAATAAATGGTTTGAGCATAGCCAACGAAAGAAAGGTTTCGAGCAAAGAGGAAGAAAGAAAGTTAGTAAGCAAGCAATAGAGAAAGAAAGGGATAGTGAGTAGCAAAAAAAAAGGAAGTTTTAGAGCAAGGACAAAGAATTTGAAGTAAGAAAGTAAAAAAGAAAGAAAATCAGAAAGAAAGAGTTAAAGCAAAGGCTATGAAAAAAGAAAGGGCTTGAGCAAAGCTAACGAAAGAAAGAAAGAAAGAAAGAAAGAAAGAAAGAAAGATGGTTTTAGGTGAAGACAAAGAAGGAATGAAAGCAAGCAAGCGAGAAAGAAAGAAAGAAAGAAAGAAAAAAAGAAAGAAAGAAAGAAAGAAAAGCTTAGTGAAACCCAAAAGAAATAAAAAAATGAAGATTTAGAGCAAAGAGAAAGAAAGAAAGAAGACTATTGGAATGCATTGCAATGTAAAAGAAGGAAAGAAAGAAAAGAAAAGGATAAGAAAAAGAGATGAAATAGTGCAATGGAAAAATAAAGAAATAAAAAATATAAGAATTACAAAGAACGAAAGAATAAAAGAATATATTGAACAAATTAAATGAAGTGATATAAAAAGAGACGATGAATAAAAAAAAGAAGGAAAGAGAAAGAAAGGCTGCAAGTTTAATGCCATGTAAAACAAAATAAAAAAATATATTACCTCATCTCTGTATGTGAGTGTGTGCGCGCGCATGTGTATGTGTGAGTGTATGTGCGTCTGTATGTGTGTGTGTGCGTGAAATTTTCGAGACGATGCTGAAAAGTTCAGAGCCGGACCAAAAATCCATTAAAAAAATTATGGTGAATTCGTCAGATTTTTGGAAATTGCTCGCCTCGGGCACTGCTCAGCGCCTCCCCAGTTCGATGCGCTAAAGACATAGTTTATGTAATCGATGCGCATATTTGTTTGTGTCTTTTGTTTACGCATGCATAATTGTCTTAAAGATTATGAATATATACAGGAATTGATCTTCTGTAGGTAAGTAAGTAAGTTGCCAGTCATTACGTGAACTTTTCAACGGAAGTTTACAGTGGTGAAAAGTTGAGTTTAAGTGTATTGTTAAAGAAAGAGATTATGTTGAAAATCAAATGTTTTTGTAAAATAAATGCGTTTTCATCGTAAACAGACAGACTTATTCATATATGTGGCCAATAAACCGTCCCTGCATACAAAAAACCCAAAAGATGAAAAAACGAATCTGTTGTGTGGCCATTTGACCAGATTCATAGATATATAGATAGATGCAAGCAAATAAAGAGAGGAGTTAGATAGATAGATAGATAGATAGATAGATAGATAGATAGATAGATAGATAATGAACAGACTCAGATAGATAGTTATTAACTGGTCGAAACCGGGTATTATTTCAAATGTTGATCTTCAAATCAGGGACACACTCCCCACGTGATTCGTTGGCCGAGTGCAGCTATCAGTATGTACATATTTTAAGAGATAGATAGACAGATCAGTGGAACCTTATTAATGCGAGATGGAGAAAGATATAGATAGAGAATGAGAGAAAGAGAGAGAAAGAGAGTGGGAATAGAGATGTATATAATAGTTCGGTAGAGTTAGAGAATGACAGAGAATACAAAGATTAGGAGTGGGATAGAGAGAGAGAGAGAGGAGGGCGAAGTGTAGTCAAGACAAAAAGAAAAAGGTGAGCAAAGGCGGGAGACAGTGAGAGGGAGAGCAGACTTAGGAAACAGAGAGAGAGAGAGAAGAAGAAAGATATCGAAAGAGAAAGATAGAAAGAAAGAACTAGTGAAAAACGGAAGACAAAATCGACTGGGAGAAGATGCGGGTTGGCAGGGGATTGGAGTGGCGATGCTCAGTTTGAACATCTTCGCAACTATCAGAATACCTTTGATGTTTGATCCGATTCTACGAAATAATTCTTTCAAGAATGTAATCAATTTCTGCTTTACACACAGACACAGTGAAACGCTCAACATTCATTTGGGAATTGGAAGACAAGCCTGCGCTGACAAATTCTTTCTTTATCTTTTTTTCCCCTTAATTCCAATTCGATTAAATATTTTTCTTTCTTTCTTTCTTTCTTTCTTTCTTTCTTTCTTTCTTTCTTTCTTTCTTTTGCAATTTTCAGGTTTCTTTCTTTTTTCTATTCAGTGCGATGTACCACTTTGCTTTCTTTCTTTCTTTCTTTCTTTTGTAATCTTTAGGTTTCTTTCTTTTTTCATTCATTGTTCTTAAGCAATACTTTCTTTCTTTTTCACACACTGCCATTAATAGTTTCTTTCTTTCTTTCTTTCTTTCTTTCTTTCTTTATTCGCTCACTGTTATTAATCACTTTCTCTCTCACTCTTTATTCCTTCCTTTTTGTTCACTGTCAAGAACCTTTTTTTCTTTTTTCCTCTTTCATTCACTGGCATAGACAAATTCTTTTTTCTTTTTCCTTGTTTTTCATTCACTGCCATTAACTACATTCTTTCTTTCAGTCGTTCTTACTCAATGTCACTATTTTGTTAATTTCTTTCTTTTTAATTCAATGCCATTAAACTTTTCTTTCTTTCTCAATGAAACCGACTAATTTCTTCTTTTCTTTCTTTTTTCATTCACTGCCATTAAATCCTTTCTTTCTTTTTTTCTTTCT